ATTTCGTATTTCCTGGTGTTGTCTCCGGTGTGTTTAAGCCAGCTCCGTTGTGCTTGAAGAGAAAATAAGAGATATTGTCAACAGTGTAGAAATTGTAAGCATGATTTTTTTTTCATGGACAGATTAATTTAACTGTTAATTGTTAAGTTAAACATTAATGTAATCTTAGCACGTTACAAGTTTGTATAATTCGTTATTGCTGTTGTTATCAGCATCATTTTATAAATTTTGTTAAATTATAATTTTTAGCATGTTAACATCCTTATTATTATTGATGAGTATTTGGTATAAATCATGCGTTAATAATAATATTATATGAATAACATATTTCTTAACATGTTAATACAAATATTATTTGAATATTTAATATATTAGCACGTTATATATATTAGATACTATTGTTAGCATGTTATTATTCTGTAGAACATGATATAATAATTGTTAGCATGTTAGTCACCGGATGGGTAATGAACAGTGTCCGATCAATGGCATATTATGTAACTAACAAAAAGTAAGAAGGATATTTAAGGTTTAATTTTTTTCTCTCCTTCCTAGTTACCTAATTTTCAAATTATCATTGTTATTAACTTAATTTTTAAGTCAACCATTAATATTGACTAAATTCACTCTACATTTTAAGATAGTCTACCATTTTACATTTATTTTTATAAAAGTAGTTAGTCGTTAATTCACCCTATAGGTATTTTTATCTCCTTATTTATATATAATATTTCTGTATATACATAATAATATATTAATTTTTTTACTTATATACAAATTGGTATTACATACATACTATTCATATAAAATAATCTTGTATATATAATTTTTATTTAGTTCAATATTTTTCCACATACATTATTCTATAAATATCATTCATTTTATTTTAAAAATTTTATAAAATAAATAATTATTCTACAAATAAATCTAATACTTACCTATCATACTTTAATTTTAAAAAGGTTAAAGCCAACATCTTACAGGTACAACAAAAACGTGTACAACCCAAATTCTACAACAAATAATCTACGGTTATGTTCAACCAATCACCTACAATATCTCATTCATGGTTCTTTTTGCAGCTAATATATTTTTAGATGACAAAAAATATATATATACAATACAAAAGATGAGACAATTTGTTGTACAATCTTTTTGGGCATATTCATTAAGTTAAGACATCTCCAACCGACTTTTCTATTTTCTTTCTAACTCACCTTTCTTTTTAATTCTAAAATAAAGAATACTATTTGTTGTTGTATATTTTGAGAAAAAATAGAAAAATGTTTTATTTTACTGTAAAATAGAAAAAATAAATATTTATCTAAAAGAAAGA